TCGATTACATTTTTGGCCAACTCTGGTGCACTGGCAGGACTTTTATTTATGTTTATCTGGGAATCTTTCTGGGGTAATTATGATCGCAAGACGAGAATTAACAGACTTTTAACATGGAATGGTATTTAGACGCATAGGACATTGAGTTTCGGAAATTGTGAGAGAGAAGCCAAGTCTCGAAAAGTGCACTGTGTGTGCAGAGAATACCTCATTTCGGGCATGACCTCCTTCCATGCACAGCATAAGAGCCGCCCGTTTGCACTTAATGACCGAGATTAGGGAAGTGTGCATAGAATTGTTAATGCTAACAGACAAGCAACATTGCGTGAAACAACAGCAAGCATCACTTCGGTATGTGAAATGCACGTGTACATAAGAACAGTATGGGAAAATTTGGATGAAATAGGGTATGGCAGCAGAAGACCGACTCGAGTGCATTTACAAACAGCATGACATCACACCCAGAGCCTCTCCTGTGCTCGACACTATACTGGTTGGACCTTAGACGACTGAAAAACTGTAGCTGGGCCAGGTGAATAACGATTTCAGGTAGTCAAAGCTCATGAGACGATTCGAATATGGCGCAGACCTGACAAAGCTATGAGGCCAATTTGTCAACAAGACATTGTGGTCCATAATGGTGGGGGTTACTTTTTCATGGCATATACTGATTACTATGGTCGGACTGTACAGATCATTGACTGGAAATGCTATTCGACTGATTCAGCTATTTGAAGACCACTTGCAGCCATTAATGAACTTCATGTACCCAAACAATGATAGAATTTTCAGTCACGGAGCTTTCATTGTTTACGACTGGTTTGAAGAACAATCTAAACTATTCCAGCGATTGATTTGGCCACCTAGATCACCCGATGTGAATCTCTTCGAACAATTTATGAGATATAATCGAGAAGTCAGTTCGTTCGCATAATCCAGCACCCGCAACACTTCAACAATTATGGCAATCTATCGAGGCTGTATAGCTGAATATTCCAACAAAAACTTTCAACTACCTGTTGAGTCCATGCCACGTCGAGTTGCAGCACTTCGTAAAGCTAGAGGAGATCTGACACGATAAAAGTTATCCCATGACATTCTCACCTCAGTGTATTTATCAGCCACAGTGTACGTATACACTTTAGTGTATGTATTACTTCTCATCAATTAATCTAAATAAAATAAGGAATATAAAATTTGAAATAAAACTTATTTCTCTTTTTCGCTAAAATGGGCTAAAGCTTAGCTAAATGCCACTGATAATTTCGTTATCCCCATAATACTATATGGTATACCGGAAAATCATATATTTAAGTTCTGGTAATTGCAAATAAAATATTTACTATCATATACAGTCACAGAAAAAATCACTATTAATAACTTTTGATCTAATAACTAGAAATCGGTGTATTAAGAGGAAATCTTGATTGTTCGACAGACAGACTTTAAATATGTTAATTAATATAGACGATAATTTATAGTGATATGGTATCTTTTACAAACTTATCTTTAATCCATAGAATTAACCAAAGATATCTATAGAGATATAGAATCTAATATTTTAATAAAAGTAAATATTAAAGAGCACTTTTAAAATGTTTTTAAATCATTTTAATTTCAAATTCAAAATGGATTAATATCAATTTTTTAATGAAAAAAATAACACATTTTAGGTTGTTAACAATGTCCTATAGTTGATTACACTGGAGAACAAATTTTTTGTTGCATTTATACTAGAACTTGATTTTATTTAATTCGGCAATGGAGATTTCAAGTCTGAAATTAGTTTTGCTCCGAAATCTACAGATTTTTTGTTAAATTCATTTTTTTATCTGAATGTACAAATTAATAAAGAACGTTAAGGCTTTATACACGTACATATTCACTTGTCTACTCCTTTGAAAATAACTCTTAAGTAAAAAATGTATGACGGTAACGTATCGCATCATAAACTGAAATGTAAAATCGCCACCTTCCCACCACGTCCTACTTACTTGAAAAGTGGGGACACAGTATTCTTTGATTGAATTTTAAAAAATTCTGGTTTGGGTAATATTTTTAATTTGCATAAAAACTGTGGCTTTTGGTGAGAAACCGATTGCATAGTGAAAATCAGCAATGCAAAAATACTTAAGATCTGTTAAAAAAATATCATGAAACAGGAAACCAATCAAAAAAATGTTCACGTTTGTTATTTTATGATTCCATTTTTTGTAACACTGAGTCCTGTTCATTTAGATCGGAAAAGCTTTCTATTTTTAATTTTTTTTTCTTGCTTGTTGTTGTAACATCAAGACTTTTTTTTATTTTCCTAATTAAATATTTCTTTTAGACATAATGTTAATAAAAAAAATTTCAGGTGACACACCTTATCCTGGAATTCCACCAGAAAGACTCTTTTCAATGTTGAAAGATGGTTATAGAATGCCGAAGCCTGATAATTGCCCATACCATTTGTAAGTAGAATTAAAACTGTTCCTTTTTCACTTTTTTAAAGCCTTTTGTTGCACGCTGCGCAAATTAAAAAGAGGAATAATTTTTGATCTCATGATTAGTCTCAATCTTATCAGATCGAGGGCCTGGGTCAAATATGCTAATTAATGAGTGAAAATGATCTTTTAAGTTACAAAATCAACCGACCGGCCTTTGTAGGGGTTAGGGAACTGCCCTAGCGTCAGAAAGGTTCTGTGTTCGAATCCCGGGCAAGGCATGGATGTTCTTTCCTTCCCTGTACTATCTGTCTTATTGTGGGAGCAGCGTTGAGCCACCTAATATGGTGACCCTGAAAGAGTGGTCAACAAATCTGCCCTTCAGATACCTGTATGACCTGCTGGGTCATTCTCCAGGTAGACATTGGAAGAAAAAAAAGTTACAAAATCAAACTCAAAAACGTACTTTAACTGAATAAACATGCCTTTTTTTCAACGAATTTAGATTTATGACTTTTGAAAATATGGTCCCAGCCTGGAAAATATGGTCCCAATAACTTGGTCAGGAATGCATTCAAAAGTTTGCACCCCTCAATGTTAATTTCACTTTTTTGAAAATTCGCCGCCATATTTCAAAAACTGTTTGAGCCAATCTAAACCCTGGGTTCACAAGTAAAAAATTTGTTTAGCCAAAAAAAATTCCATGGAAAAAATTTGATAATTGTTTTTAATATTTTATTTAAAAATGGTCAGAAAAAATTTGAATTGCAAGCTATACAATTTTTTGCATCATTTGAACTGAAACTTAGTTAACTATTAACTATTTGATCTTAGTTAGAAAATAGAAAGTTTGTTCTAGTTAAATATGAACATTAACGAATCAATAAATTATTGAATTACACCAAACATAGTAGGTTTTTTACTTATTTTCAGCTATAAAATAATGAGGACTTGTTGGCGTGAAAAACCACACGAAAGACCACATTTTCGAGAACTTGTGTTGAAACTTGAATCTCTGATGCATGAGTTGAAATTAAAGGTAAATTTTCATGATTTATTTATCAACTTTTTTGTTTTATTTATCATCCTCTGTAATGAAAAAGATATATCTTTTATGCAATGTATCTACATATATGTAAAGTAAGGAATAATTTGCGACAACCCAGGCTGGAAAGGGCTCTGCGCCAGATGAAATGTCTCCTCTCACGAAACAGCCCCGCCCAGTACGAGCACCAAGCAATGCGGATATTCAGACACAAGGCCTCGAGTCACGCCTGACAAGAGGCACCATAAATTACGTCGGTAGGCAGAGGAGACTTGTATGCAGTCCAAGGCCAAATCCTGGCCCAAACCAACTACAGGCGCGACTGAAACAGGGCCAACGGCAGAAAGGCAACCACCACACCACGTCCCACCGAGCAGCCCTATTGCTGAAAAGCTATCTTACCATCTTTATTTAAAATAAACAATTACAATAACAAATTAATTAAAAATTTCAATTACAATTATAAATCAATTTACAATTAACAATTCAAAAGAAAAGATAAGACAACCTTGGACGGCTCACAAAAGGTAGCAAAAATCAACCAAATTCCCTTTGGGCCAGTAACACCTCTGACAGTAGAAACTTTATTTCTCCATAATTGATGCGGTTTCTGAGTTGTTTTATGTTTAACTGAGTTGTTTAATGTTTGACTGAGTCTCTGCTTAGAACTCTGTGGTTCTTTCGAAACTTTGTTTCACATTTTCTATTTGATTCCTTGCAATTTGAACACTTTTGTTCTCGCAGTTCACTTCGTGGCGTTCCGTCTTTTTGCAGTTGGTGCAGATCTCATTATTCTTGCCTTTCTTTACCCTGTGATCGAAACTGCAACGTTTATAGCATCTCAGTGGTATTAAGTGCTCCTTGGCAACCAACCTTGACTTTTGGTTATCTCTGGATCTTTTTCAAGCTCTCTGGATTGACAGTCTTAGTGTAGCATTTATAGCATCTCAGTGGTTTTAAGTGTTCCTTGGCAACCAACCTTGAATTTTGGTTATCTCTGGATCTTTTTCAAGCTCTCTGGATTGACAGTCTTAGTGTAGCATTTATAGCATCTCAGTGGTTTTAAGTGTTCCTTGGCAACCAACCTTGACTTTTGGTTATCTCTGGATCTTTTTCAAGCTCTCTGGATTGACAGTCTCGGTGTAGCATTTATAGCATCTCAGTGGTTTTAAGTGTTCCTTGGCAACCAAACTTGACTTTTGGTTATCTCTGGATCTTTTTGAAGCTCTCTAGGTTGACAGTCAAAGCCCAATTTTTTCCTCATTTCGTTTTATTTGGATACTTCACCTCGAGATCGGCCGTTTTTAACCCTTCATTTTGAAGCTTGGTTGTTTCAATTAGGTTTTCCCCGGTGTACGCCTCCTCTTCAACGTTGTAAAGGAGATTACCTACGAAATACGGAGTTTGGGCCTTCTATGTTTCGATCTTAAAAAGGCACTTGTTCTTCAAGTGGCCAGTCATAAGCATGCCAAATTCGCGTTCAAAGTCGACTTGAATGAGGAGTCACCCTCTGGAGATTTTCTTAACTCTTTTTAATCCCTATTTTTAGCCTCTTCAGGTCAAGTCTAGTAGTATACTCTTTAATCGACTTCTTTGATGTTCTATTGCTCTCTTGTGGGATGATTGAAAATATTCCTAATTGAAAATATTGATTGTGGCCTTTTTTTGAGTGATTTCCTTTCAAGTTCTTGTTGGTTTTGTTGCCACTTCAGCTTAAGTTTTGTTCCTAATTAACTCCACAGTAATTCTGTGGTTTTCGTTCTCACTTCCTCTAAAGGGGGTGGGCTGCTTGTTTATTTTTGTAACAATCTCTACCAGTTTATTTACATTGTTGTAAATTTTGGCTGTAGTAAATTTTCTTTTATTTTATTTTTTTAATTTTCATCGGATTCCTTCAATGATTTTACCGAGGATCTGGAAATTTCTTCCTTGCAGTAGAGACCATTAGTCAGCCAGATTGATTGTAGGTCTTCTAGTGATTACTCATTGTCGGAGTCTCCCCCCTCTTTCTTCTCTCCGCCTGCCATAGCTCACCAAACCAATTAAATTATGAAATTTGTACAGCTGTTAAATTAGGAAAAAATTGTGTTTGAATGTGACTAACTTCCGCTATTGGCCCCATTTGCCCTCTTTGGCACCCGAAAGTGGTCACCCACACACCACGATGAGGTGAGGGTCAAAAAATAGATGATATTATCAGATCTTATTCTAGAGCTATCCTGACTGTGCATCGACAAGGGATAGTCATGGGGACGTTGTCACTTCACGGGGAAAAAAAATTCTCTTAAATCATTTTAAATTTCCCACTCTAATATTCTCTGTAAGAACTCTTTGTAAGAACATTCAGGGCGTGTGATCATGAGATAGATATATATCAAAGATATCTACAACAGTTCGAATTTCTTTACTTTTTTTTTACAATCCAAACTGGGTGTTTCGTAATCGCAGCCCTTGATTAAAATAGGGGTATTTAAAGCCTGATAATGGGAAAATTGCAGAAACAAACACAACCAAATTTGCATTGGACACTAGTTAAGCTATGCAAGTCAATTAAAAAAATAATAATAAAAATGATAATAATCACTATCAGGAGATGAAATGGCACTGTAAGGTTATTCTTGAGGTAAAATAGACATAGCAATGAGAGGCAATTAACATCTTACATCCATTTTAATATTTGCAACTATTGCATTTTGCACTGTCATATAAAATGCTCAGCCCTCATGTTACCTTTTAGCACTAGCTTGCTGTGTGCAGATTTTCACTTAGAATTGAAGCTATTATTTTCCTACATCACTGATAAAATTGCTTAAGCGCAAACCATATTCAAGGGGAAGAAGACAGGGACAATGGTTTCAAGGCCAGAGACTACTGAGAGCCCAGTTAAAATTTCTTAATAAATTTAGTGTACTTTAAGTGATTTTTTTAAAACGAAAATGCAGAGAATTTATCTTACTCTGAATAGTAATTACTTATATGTTTGCAAAAAATATAAAAACCGCAATTTTGATTAAAGACTTTTCACAAATTCTTCAAAATATGAAAATAAGACTTTTTTTAACAAGGATCTCGCAATAAATTTCATCCCGAGAGCCACAAAACCTGGGTCCAGCCTTGTGATTAAAATAGTATACCATACCTGCCAATTTTCTCTTTTACCAAAAAAGATTTTCCGAAATGGTAGCAAAACGTAAATTTTTAAAAAAGAAAAAAAAAAAACAATTGCCAAACAATTATGTATTTTCATATTTTGCCGAAGTTTAAACATTATATATATGTAACTAAAAAGCTTCAATTAATTTTTTTATGTTAGTTCTTTTCTGTAAATCCTTTTATTTTATTTTATTATTCTAATCGAAACGCTTTCTCTCACTTTTGAATTCACATCCTGTCCTTAAATCTATTTTTAGCTCAAGTATGAATCAATTAAAAGTAAAGACATTTTCCCCTTTACTCTTTGTGGGAATCGCGTGACCTATTTAATAAACCAATAGAAACCTTAGAATAGTAATTTCTAAGGTTTCCCTCTTTTCCCTAAATAGAGACATTTTCGGATTTTTTGCAAGATTTTCCCTACCAGAGAGACTGATCGTCGATAGAGTGAACGACACTTTTCGCTTACCACTCAANTATATATATATGCTTTCTGTAAAGAATGTATTTTAATAAGAAGGAAAAAAATATTGTCAAAAATTAAATTTATTGTTAAATTTCAAAAACAATTTAACATCTTTTTCTCACTTTAATTCACGTTGGTGAAAAAGTAGAAGTTAAGATTGTCATTTAAATAAAAAAAGAAAAAAGACCCAACATAAAATGTCTTAGAGATTATTTTATTCGATAGATATCAATGAATATTCAGAACTAAAAATACAGTTTTTTTAATAACTTTTTTAGACTTTTGGCAAACTTGTACAACTTTGTGTAATACCGTGCGTATATTAAGAGCGTATAGAATGTACAAAAATTCTGAAAAATATCATTTTTCTTCGTCTCGTTTTGGAAAAAAGTCTCAAAAGCCAAAAAAGTCTCAAGTCTCGTTAAACAATGAAATATCTCTTTTTTTTTATTGATTGATTTCTTCATTTATTTATTATTATTTTCATTTTTTATTTATTTTTTTATTTATTTATTTTTATTTATTTATTTATTTATTTTTTTTGCAGAACACCATACCATTAAGTGAGGAAGAATGCATTGATTTCAGCAAACTGAGAAAGCAGAAAAGTAAGAATTATACATTTTTCCTATACTTATTTTTTTTAATCAACACGCAAGTACAGTGATGTCTTTCTTGAAATGATGAGAGAAAAATTAAAAACTCAACGTCGAATTTACAGAAATCATTTTCGTTGCTGCAAAAATCTTGGTTCGATTTGAGTGAAAGATATATGCGGCCACCTCTGAATTTTCGATCGTGTATGGAGGTTGGACAAAATTATGAAAACACTTCTATACTAACATTTTGTAAACAGTCTTTCTTATAGCAGCAAATGCTTTAGAAAATTTCACATGGCAACACTTTTGGCATAAATTTGAGAGATTATGCTTGAAGCTTTTAGAAATGATGTCCTTTTTATCCATGCGAAATTCGGATCAACCATAATAAGAAGATGGAGTTAATATTTTTTTTAATTTTAATACCAGCAGTTTTGGAATCACTCTATAGAATTGCAATATTTATATTAGAATGCTTTTCAATTTTAGTAGTATTAAAGAAAGAACGAAGCTTTTAATTTCATGCGTTTATTTTGGTCGATCTTAATTTTGCATGGGTAAAAGGGACACCATGTCTAAAAGCATCAAGCATGTAATCTTTCAAATTACGAACAATTAGGCCATGTAAAGAATGAACAATTTGGACATCTTACAACAAACTTGATACTAAACGAAAAATTGTTTACAAAGAGTTAATATAGGAATGTTCTGTCCGAATTCCTTAATTCAGTTAAAGGAATATTGAGACGATGAGGAATGTTTTTATGATAAATTTTTCATTACAAGAAGCACATTTCCTTATACTAATTTTGCTACCACTTAAATTATATTAGCTGATCGCTGGAAGCGCTGTTGTGCTTTCATCTGTCCTAACTTTCAAGTTTTTAATTTTATATTATAACCGGCGTTGAGTAGGCGACCCAACACTGAGTTTACGACTACCAATCAACTCTCAACTTCATAGGCATGCGATTTTGAACCCGACCCAGAAGACAAAGAGACTTCTGGATCAAACATTGGAACAAATTAGCCATTGTAAAGCTTTTTTCATGGAACTAATCCGCATTTGCGTTACATGGAGGTGAAAACCTCACATGGTTAGCCCGACGGAAAGGAGATTCTTACTCATCCGTCTGCCACTGAAGATATTTTACGTCAGCTCTGAAGTCTGTGTGAGACGGGAGCAGAATTCGAATTAACCTGCCACCGCTGGAATTCGAACCTAAGTTAACTCATTGGAAAGCGAACGCTCTATTTCCTGATCCATCGCGGGTCAAACTTTTAAGTTTTTTATATTCGTCGTTGAACAGCCAACCCAATTTTTGGGATTACGACTGCTAATGTTCAACTCCGTAGCCTTGTAATTTTGAACCCAATCCAGAAGACAAGGAAACTCCTGGATAAGTACCCCCCAGAGGTATTAATTTGCTATGGGAACATGGAGAACTTTGCGACTCTACAGATTTAACGTGCATCAGTCACCATTTACTACACGGGGAGTCTTCGACCGGCGGGGATTGAACCCACGAACTGTTGGACATGGGCCCAGTGCTCTACCAACCAGGCTATCCCGGCAATAAGTTTAGAATGACGTAACTCATTTGAAGTTTTTTGAGAGTATTAAGTATGTGACGTCTTTTTAGTAAACTTAGCACTAAAACTTTTTATAGCCTTATCACAGAATGTTATACGGGCTATATGCGTCCCTAACAACAAACACGTCTTGCCGCTATACTTTACCTTAAATATTGATAATTATAATGCATTGAATATTGTTTAAATATTGATTGTATTGTAGTTCTGTACCAACTTCCGAAACGCTAAACTCTTGGACGTTTTAATTTTTCAATTAAATTTCGTTTTACATCTAATTGATTAAAATTATTATTGATTATCATGCAGCAATTAGTATTGATGTTATTATTCACTTAGTATTACATTAGTATTAACTATTGTGCATTTAGAGAGAAATTCTGAACTAGATTGTCTTGCCATTTAACTCTTGGACATTATGTTCAAAATTAATTTCATTTTGCATAGCATTTGCAAACAACGAAAAAAAAACTATTTAAAATAGTTTGTAATATTTATTATAGATCTATTAATTTTATTTTAATTTGCATAGGTGAGAATAACTCTGTAATGCATCAGCTGACTTCCTTTCCGAAACTGAGTGTTGTTCAGATAGTGCCATATGAGAATCAGCATCTACTTTCTCCAGGCGAATTCAGTGTTTAAAAGAAGGCAGCAATGTGAAAGCAGTCCCTGAAGAATTGATTAATTATTTTTAGTAATATAAAATGTCTCAGTGAATGAAAATATAAGAGGATTCAGAAAGCAGTAATCACAATATACATTATCTATCTATATATATATTATATATTTCTTTGTCATCTATAATCAGTTTTCTATTACGAGTATTATTTTAAACTCCTAGCTATATGTTAACTCTTAAATGCTTCATGATTTTGACCCTTAGGCGTTGAAACACTTATTTTGTTGTTTAAACTCTTGTAATCAGAGTTGTGGAGTTGGTAGTTGAAATGTTAGACTCCTACTCCATATTTTTCTATGAGCCTAACTTTCTTCGTAAAAAGTTTTACTGAGTCCTAGGATCGGTAATAATATTAACCCTTTGGACTCGATAGGTGACGCTCTGTTACCATTACTTATTATAACATTCCCATCAGACTGAATGATACATTTTTTTACATCTAAATGTTTACTAATCCCTTTCAAAAAGGGCGTCAAGGTTTCGTGTTGTAAGTGTTCTAACACTGTGTTTAGTCTTGTAAATGTTTCATGATTGCGTTTTCTTTTCCTTTTATTTAACCGTTGAAAGAGCCTTGAGTCCAAAGAGCCTTGAGTCCAAAGAGCCTTAAGATACAGCTAAAGAGCCAAAGATACAGCCCTTTCCAGCTCAATGTAGATACTTTGAGAACACTAATTCAACTAATGTTACTAACCTCTAGAAATGTAAAACTAATTGCTTTTAAATGTTTAGCAACCATTATTCTTTAAACAACAAAGGTAAAGTGCGCCATTTTACTTCGAATGTATAACCTAATTAAAATTTTCAATCAAAATTTTGCTGTTCTCGAAAGGGTTAATACTGAATAAATGTTCATTTCAATTTATAAGTTTCTATTTTTTATATTTATGATTAGGATTAAGGGTATTTTATTTAAAATTATATCTTATATTTTGTTTTAACTTTAGAAGAAATAAATTTGAGCAAATATATTGTGCAAAACCGTTATAAGAATGGAGCTAGATATCCACACGCACAATATAAATAAAAAAAGCTTTTTTACCTTGTGAATACTTTTGAATTAGTGAACTATTACATTTTATAGATTTATTTATCAAGACTTTCAATAAATTTTTTGTCTTTTTTTTCAATAATCCAATCAAGCTTAGGCTTAAAAATGTTTGCATTTAATAAACTAATTTCGGGATAAGAATAATTATAAATATTTGCATGAATCCTTGGATTTAACATTTAACTAACCAGGGTCAAAAACTCCTGAAAAATAGTTTTCGAATTCAAATCTATCAAACTTACCTGTAACCGAATAAATTTTAAAGATATAAATCATGATGTATTTTATTTAATATCTTAAGATCTTGGAGTAAAAATAATTGCTAAGATGTGAAAATTTGTAAGATTCAAGTTTCGTTTGTTATCGATTTTTAAAAATATAAATGTCACTTAATATAATACAAATGACCAATAAGGATTGAAACATCAACAAACCTAGCTTTATTTAGACTAGAAATTAATTAATTAAATATCTCTATTATTACCACAATGATTAACTAAATAGCTGTTTTTACATGGTCTGATTTGGTTATTACCAAACGTCTCAGAAGTATAATTAATTAGCAAGAATCATTCCTAACCGAAGCCACTTTTTTTTCAGTTCAAAAATTTAATATCTTAAATTCTTGGTCTAAAAATGATTACAAATGTCTAAAAAGATAAAATATTATTTTCTATTTCGTTCTTTAAATTTAAAACAACACACAAGAACAGACAAACGACAAATGAATATCAACTAACTAAACTTATTATCAAGATTAGAAATGAATTAGACAATTTTTTTCACCAAAATTAATTGAATATCCGCTTTGCATGGTCTGATTTAGTTGTTTCCAAACGTTTGAGAAATGTAATTAACAAAAAATCATTCATATAATCTTGCATATTTTATTACAGTATCCTAGTTCTTAGGAGTTTAAAAAACAACAAACCTAGGATGTAAACGATTTATACAAGTCAAAAAATCTAAATATTTAGAATAGATTTGACTATTATTGTAAACAAGATATATATTAATTTAGGAATGCTCGTGATTTTTATAGCAGTAGGTTCATTACTTTTTAAATCCTCTTATCATTTTTATTCACAGACAACACCTTCAAAAATAAATCTACGCGCATTTTTTTTCTTTTAAATATTTTTATTAAAATAATTCTTCAATGCAAAATTAACCCTTTATAGGGCCTTTTTTCTAATAATGTTATGTAATAATATTTTGGGGATTGAGAGTGATTAATGTACAGAAATTCATTTAGCTTATTATCTAAAATTATAAAGGTGGGAGGGATTTTCAAAATTTTATGTACTGTGAAGAATTGGCCATTAATTTGATTTTATGTTCTTATAAATAACCACATTTAAAAATGCTGTGTTTATAGATGCAAATTAACTAGACGAGAAATGGTCAAATAATTTACTAATGAACAATGAACGCAAACCGCACAAGAGAAAACAGCTCTTTAGTGTTGGCCTTTCTTCTTGACCCCACGCAACCTTTACTATTACCCACACTTTTGTAAACAAAGCGTTGTTTCCCCATAATTTTTAAAGTTAACAGCAGATGACTACACAAATCATAGGCGAAAAAATGGCCTCTTTCAAAAATTAATTAAAAAACTAATGACTTTTAAAAATTAATGAAGTTGATGGGAAATGTACTTACACGGCCTTATAAAGGGTTAATCTAAATATTAATGAAGTTGGTCGGTGAGAAATATATTTTACACGCCCTTAATAAATGTAAAAATGTTTGATTGATTTACATGTTTTATTCCGGAACGAAACGTATAAACTGCTACTCCTGATTATAAAATGTTTATGGCCAAAGTTTAAAAAAATTTCTCAACTTTACTTTTAAAAAATTATTTATTCTCATTTTTGAGATAAAATTGACTTCAACGCAGTTCGAAATCTCTGTCATCAAATTGGTTCTATATTGGAATAGTTAATCATCCCATTTAAGATTGATACATAATGTATAAATGCAGGCGAACATTTCAAACTAATTTTAAAAATTAACTAATTTTATTTTTAAAGGTTTAATTAACTGTGTATTTATATTCAATGTGCTGGATATCGGATATTTTTCCCCCCTTCCCTTTATCAGAGAAATACATATTTTATAAAACGAAATTGCATGACTTATAAAATAATTCTTTGATAAAATAATTCAACTGTGTAAATTCTCAGAAAAATATCCGTATTTAATTAGCATAGATATCCTATCAGCATATTTACAATTATATGATAATTTACGAAATCGAGTTCGTCAGTTATAGTATGCAAGAACTTTGTTGTATTTTGGATTTATTTTTGTCGATGTGTACAATAAGTATAAAAATAGTTATAATTCTTTATCAAGTACAATGTTTACAGTTTTTTTTCTTCTTAACAATAGCCAAATGCTACAAATTGGAATGTATTTAAAATGTGTAGAATAAGATGTTTATTCTGAATAAAATAATATTTTACTTTACTAAAAGTTGTAAAATAAAAACGAACAAATAAACTGATTTCATGTGCTAAGAGATGGACTTATTTTTAATAGTATCACATCATCATTATCATAATATCTTCCTCCAACTAAAGCCCTAGATTACTTAGTTTAAGTAGCATCACTCTTTTCCTAGCAACTTTTGTGCCGCTTTCGATTTTGATTGGTTGTCGCCGATTACATGCATGGATAAAAAGTCGCCATTATGTTAACTTGTTTGAACTGTTAAGTATCATTGCACTCGACCTGTTATTTCTATTTTCGTTTTTCTTTTTACTTTATTTGTTTCATACATTTAATTAATTTAATATTACAGGTTGTTGCGCATTCGGGTGTTCTAGTAAGTCAAAATTAAGCTTTAAATTATATTGCTTACCTCTTGGATATCGCAATAAGGAACGACGAAAAGTATACGTGCATGGAATTGGCAGAAATAAATGGATTCCAAAAGATACTAAGTACAATAAAATTTTATAATTAGAAAATGCTGAAAAAATTGTCCGGTTATATTTTAAATTGCTCATTATTTTGTTTGCTTTTGTGGAATTTTGCCTTTCTAATTTAAGCGTAATATCTTTATTGGCGATCGCAACGCTTGAATACGCCATCTGGGGAGAGACCGGTTTCATGCCTTTGGCCCCTCTACCTTCTTTTCAGTTGTATGGGAATATACTACGATATTTTCCCTTTTCTTAATATTTTTCCTTTTGACTTAATAAAAATATTTTTTAAATTTTCAATGAAGCTTTTCTTTAGTACTGTGTTTAATGTAGTTTTCAGTTCCATATAGTTTTCTATGAAAATCAAGAGAGAAACTAACGTACTTCCTTCCTCTATGACTCTCCACACGGTAAAGGGTAAAGAATAGGACGTGTTGCCAAAGGTAGAGAGTTCTGCTCTACGCCACCTGCAGCCCATTTTGATCGGCAATTGAAAACGTAAATTGCTTTTTCTTTTTTTCTTTTTTTTTTAAATAAAAGAATAATGTGTTTCTTTCAATAAACAAACAACTATGACAAGTATATTCCTCTTTAAAGGCCTGTTTAGACGATCCAAGTTCTTGGACGAAGATTAACTGATATTGATAGAAACTTGTTTTGCTTTGAGCTTGGATCGTGTAAACGATCATCCAAGAACTTGGTCCAAGTTTTTCCTCCCTTAACCAATCAGCGTCTTAGACTTTGTGACGTCAACAAGCAAGCATCAGATTATGTCATTTTGTTGTGTCAAGCATTTTAGTCCAAATAAATTTATCTGTTACGGTTTATTTATGTTGTTATGATTTTATTTGAATTATTTAGTAATTTTAAACTTATGTAAGTATTATTTTATAAGGTTGAATAAGAGCAATGCTCATGCGCTAATTTTTCGTCCGACCAATCAGTGACATTCAAGAACTTGGATAGTGTCGACGAATCATCCAATTTCTTGGACAGAGAAATTCTTCCAATTTCTCGGATTCAAGAACTTGGACCGTGTATAACGGCCTTAATGCTATGTTGTTAATATCATTAGTAAATTATATTCATTAATAAATTATAAAACTATTAAAGAATCAGATTTAACATAATTTAAATACCCTTGTACTAATGCAGTAAAATATATATTTATTTTTTCATTTAATGTATCACGAAAGTTGATTGCTTTACTTTAGCTAACTGATAAAATTAAAATGTTGTTGTTTTTTTTTTTTAAAATCAAGAACTATTTATTCAAATAATGTAATTTCAATCATAGTGAATATATATAAATTAAATATTGGTATTACAAAAATAAAAGTTAAATTGATTTAACTCTTATTTTTGTAATGTGGATAAGATGATGATAAGATAATGCAATTAAAGACAAGATTATGGTGTTCTGAAAAAATGTGAAATTTTTCCGAAGATGTTGTTCAAGTGAATTTATTAGTTTAATATTTTTGATATGTTTTATATTTTAATTGACAAACACATTTTTATTTTTAGAGCTTTACAAAATAAAGAGCAATTTTGAAATATTATTCGATTTTGTTATTTGCATCTAAAATTTTGATTGAGATTTCATCTCATATGTAATTAATTGAACCGAAAGTTTTAGAAAATTTTTATTCTAAAAGACCATGTAACAATTGGTATTGATTAAGAAGAAAAAGATTTGAACTATTGGGAAAATGCATTTTCTTTGTATAGTGATAAAAATGCCCTTAATGTTTTAAATCCTAAATCATACCACCCTTTGAACCTCAAAAAATTTCAAAAATTTGAAGAAAAGTTTCATCAGATTATGAGGGACAAAATGAGAAAGATTTAACAAATCAGGTAATATTTTCACTGAATAGAATAAAAATAAAACACATAATTTCAGAGAGAAAAAGTAATTAAAAGAATAAATAGTAAATATTTAAATTGTCTTAAGAATATGAAAATAAGTATCAATAAAAAGTGGAGTCTAAAAATAGAAACTCCGTATATCTACATTGAGAGTTGAGGTCACAAGTTGATGTCACCAAGATGGCGGCGTGTCGCTACTTTATTTACGTATCTATGGCTTTATCTCGAGCAAATATCTTCAATTTGACTTCCTCCGTTTATTTCCTGGATATTAATTTTGATATTTACTTCATTCGTCTTTAAAAAACAAAGGAAAAAAATTTCTAGCTCTCATATAAAATGTAATAAAATAACACTATTTTATAAAACCCTATCCTGCGATTTGAGAAAAATGCATCGTGACTTTAAAGTGAAGAAGAAAAAAAATACTTATCGAATGATAAACTGTGTATTAATATTAAAAAAAATGCAAGCTTTTACAAGTCACTGCATCATTGTCAGAATTTCCTTGTAAAACATTCCATGACAAATAATTTCTTAATGTATTACTAATCTTGAAGCATAAAGAAATGCCTAAACTCTTTGGAAAAAAATTACAATTCCGTGCGAATCAACTTTGGCTACAACATCTTTCCAGCTTTTGTTGATATCATACTGAATAAATTTTTGAAAAGAGTAAATCGTCGACAAACAATGCTATTTTTTACTTTATTTTTACTTGGCAAGCGGAAAAATAAATCAAAACAAAATCTTGATTCACGAAAGCAACTACCTATAGGGGGCACTGTTATTTGAGAAGAATGACTGCTAGAAGAACAACACGCTCAGTTGCTTTGTTCTTCAATGCAGCATAGTGGATTATTAAATTTGAAAAAAGAATTTTGATATTCCTTGTCGTGCAGGTGACACTACAGAATATAGATCTTGAAATAGAATATATTTTTTCTGTAAAATGAGGAATATCTAAGATACGTTGGAAAAATATTTTTTGTTGTTGTTGTAGTGCATTTATGTCGCACTAGAGCTGCACAATGGGCTATTGGCGACCGTCTGGGAAACATCTCTGAGGATGATCCGAAGACATGCCATCACAATTTTGATCCTCTTCAGAGGGGATGGCACCCCCGTTTCGGTAGCCCAACCACCTGCACACGAAGTTGAGCACTTTACGGTAGAACAGTTTAACGAGGACCCATACCACACGCGAATTGCCAAAACATACCGTAGATTGCAAAGGGTTGGCGAAAATTTCTATTGGCGTTAAAGGAGCGTTCTCGCAAATCGCCAAACAGCTGTGTGCTTATGTTTTTGTTTTGTTTTCGGTATCGCATAACATTCAACAAGTTAAATATAGGTGCGACATTTTAATTAAGCGGGTCTTCATTTGATTCTTCTGCATCAAATAAAATATAAAGCGTATTTTTTTGTTATAGTGCCGACATAATCGTTTGTATCTGTTGACTGAATTGTGATTATTAGCGTTTTTTAAAAGGTCGTAATAGAACTAAGATAGAAAATTTACACATTATTACATATTCTATAATTTCATAACTTTCATTGAATGTATTTCGAGTAGTGAAATTCTTTTCCTACTTATCCACTAATTAGAATTAATAATTTCACAATAACCTTTAATCCTTAATAATGAAATGATTATTATAATAAAGTTTGTTTACTTAAAAGATTAAAAANATCATGGTAATTTTAAAACATATTTTTATTAATTAAATACGAAAAATATAATGAAAAAGGAAAATCTCGCAGTACATTCCTATACAATTGAGAAGAGGAGGAGAGGGAAGTGAGAAGGGCCAAAGGCATGGAAGCGGTCTTCTCCCTAGATGGTGCATTCGAGCTTTGCTTTATGAGTTTCTGTAAAACTGTTTGCGAATTTTAATGTTGGAAGTAATATGATTCAGAAAAGTATGGAATGTAAAGTTTAAATAGTCCTTTCATATTAAATCAGTAAATTTAGTCGTGCGATTTCACAGCCATTAGGTTTTAACTCTAATAAGAAGATACATGTTTTTTTTCTGCTTATTTACAAAAATTTTTCGATATGCTTTGGATATTCTTTCCCTAAAAGAAAGAGATTCCATTTTGTTTTCGCTTGCATTAGAAAGAATATCAAACATTTTCCCCTTTTAAATTTAATAAGCCACAATAAAAAAGGAATGTTAGAATGCTGCGCTGAAGACATCTCCAGTCCAACATGTGATCGTGTAGTTCTGCTAGCAGGCATTCGTTTTAATGACAACGCCACCTACAGTTCTTTGCGATTAATATAAAAAAGGCGACAAGTACTAATGAAAATCTTTAATTTTCGCTGATGGCACTGTTCAGATTTTATAATGATAAAGTAAGCAGTCGGAAGCGTATCAATTATTAATCAACCTAACTTAAAACTGAAGACTGCAAAAGGTAGAACAAAGTTGTCGATTTTTGTTTGTAAACTTCAATTCGTAAGTATTGTTTTAAGTTTAAAGTAACATTTCTATGAATATTTTAACGTTTCAACTATTTTTATATACTAGTTGTGTTGCTAGAGCTGAGGTCATTATTCATTCAAAGCTTTTGGTACCGTTGGAATTATACAATGAATCCAGGTTGTTATTTAGTGATTTGTTATCATTTGCGTTTTAGAGCAATACAAGTTATAAGTTATCACTCCCTATCGAAGGTGAAACAGCAAGCTTGTTTCCTAAAAGCAAATACCAAGTGCTGGCTTGCATTCAGTATTGCACAGCCAGAGTTATGGTAACTAAGTTTCATTATTTGAAGCAGAGTTGGTACGATTTTGGTTACAATAGTAAAATGATGGTTGTTACATTCTGCCCAAAACTCATCTGCTAAATGTCCAAAACTCTAGCCATAATTAGATTTTGCTGAATTTCATTTGCCCGGTTTCATTTAAACAATATTTAAAAAAAGATTGAGGTATTAATAAACTATTATGCAAAATAAGTTACTTATTATTAGATAAAACTATCATTAAATGTGGATCTATGTCTTTAAGATATTAACTTAAAAGTATTGATATAAAAATAGTTAATATCCTGGTCAAACTAGATATTATAATGAAGATATGCGTAAACAGCTAAGAAAACATCAAAAGATTTTGACAAATAAAAATTTAAGTGGAAAACTTTAATTAAAAACTAAACTCAGTGGCGCGACAGCCCATGGAGGGCCAAGGCAACACCTACGAGAAGTTTTCGCCATCTCAGTTTTCTTGACCTTGGGCTCTGGGGTGCAGGAGCAGATGTTATGTTTCGGTTAGGTGGTCAGCCGAACACAAAGTGTTGTTCCCAAGCTTTATTGATCCACTGAAAGGCTGAGTCAACCTTGCCCGGCCCGAGGATCGAACCCAGGACCTGTGGCACAGGAGTGCAAAGCTCTACCACTCAGTCACCGGGCTTCAAAAACTTTAATTAGATATGCATTTTTACTGAGATTATTTCAGTTTATTGGGTATATATTGACACAAAGATTGTAATTGGCGAATGAACTCTTGAAAATCGAAAAACAAACTTCGTAGATGTTTGCCCTGAGTTAACTACTGGTTATACCCTTCATTCAAATTTCTTCTTGTGTGACTCTTGTTTTCGTTTCTTGTGTGCCACGGCCGAGAAGTGTATGTTTTATGAATTTTGATATTTTAATGCCATGATATTAATAATGGAAGCATAAGGAGTTATCATGATATATGCTATCAAAATATATGCTAATTTTTATACTGCTTTCTGTTCATAATTTTAATTTCAATTTCTTGCAGCTTAAGTGATGTTTTTAAGGAAAAAAGAAAAATTCTATAATTTAACATTCTTAAAACTTCTAAGAGTAATTCAATAAATAAAAATAATATAAGAAGTACATTACAAAATAAATATTCACTCAATTATTTGTTTAAAAAAATTTGCTGTTTATCATCATTGATTTTGCCCTTTAGGGAGCACTTTAAAAGTTAAAGTAAAATGACGTTTAATTTTAAATTATGTAGCTGAATTATATCCTTTGTAGCTGAACTACATCTTTAAGGGATACATAAATTGCTTAAACCATTTTCAAGACAATTGAAATAATAATATTTATATAACTGTGTGACAAGATTAAATTTAGTGTTCCTTACTCTAAAAAATATATAAGAAAATTCTGGAGAAAAGTTGGAAATAATATATTACTAATCGGTAATTTACCATTAGCCAAAAGAAGGATTTTTTGAAAGAAGGTAATAAAATCGAACTATTAAATTTATTTGATCAAAAAATTTTATGTATTTTATATGCATTGGATTCATATAGATTAATTATGAAGCATAACTTATCAATTTTGTTTGATTGTTTTCTTACAGTAATGCATTCAAAAGAACAAGTTTTGATATGCCCACTTTATCCCAGATTGAAATAAAGTGGTTATAGTTCTAAAATTAGTATGTATTTCATTAAAAAAAAACATATGTAAATGTTCAATTTAGTTATTTTACAGAAATTGTTTGGTTTTCCATAAAAAACTGCCATATGAAAGCAGAAACTTTCATGGAAACTCATATCTTTAAATAGGCTCGCTGTGTTGTACTATTCTGTTATTTTAGTATTTTAATATGTCTGTTATATTTTTATCCTTCTATTTAAAAAATAAACTGTAAATTAAATTTTGTTTTCAGTGTTAAAATTACAATTTAAAGCTATAATCAAACAAGTAAATTATTTTTTAGTTATTTCATTATGAAATATTGAGCATTAGATATTTTCTAGATTTAACACAGAAGTAAAAAAATATATACCTATTATAAAACACTTAGCATATATACCCACTTTACCCCACTTCAGAAAATAATTCATAATAAAATGAATTTTGAAATTTATTCTTAAATTTCTATGTATATCTGCTCTAGCTGTCCCTTTAGGTCTTTGTACAAAAACAATTAGTTTTCGCCACTTCTTAATGATATTAGAAAGTTATCAGTAGTTTAAACAGATAGTTTGTAGGGTGACCCGGTGTAATTCACGATCACTCTGTTTCTGGGGTAAATAATGATCACCTAAGTTTTATTTTTAAAAAATAATTTTTTTTTAAATTTGAGACATGGACAAGAATGCTTGTACACTTTACTAAAGTATAACTACATTTACTTAATAATAGTTTTTTGTTTAATCTAACAAAATAAGTATCTTTTAAAATGCTTTCTGTATTTTCCATTTCAAAGATGGGTTTCAAAATGTGCACATTTCTGCAAAGATCCCCCTCCTTCTCTTAATAATAAATATTTTGAGTTACTTTCTTTTTCTTTGATATAAAAATAGTGTAAGCTTTTGTTTAATTGTTTCACATCTACTGTAAACATTATAATTGATTATAGGAAACTATATCAAATGTTGCCCCCTACAGATGGGGTAATTATTGATCACTGGGGTAATTCCTGATCATTGTCATTTCTTCTTATAAATAGTATATAAAATAGCTAATAAATAGCTAATTGTCTTTTCTTAAATAACAGTTCATATTTATTAAGTGGAACAACTATAAAATATATTTTAACTGTCATCACAAAATTTGTTTTTAACTGTATACAAGACTGTATTCTGATTTGCACCATTTCTGGTTTGTCTTACCTTGCTTCTATCTTAATTTTATGTGTGTACATTGTTAGAATAATTTTTAAGTTTATAAATTAGCCTAGTATAAATATGGTGAGAAATTATAAGCCTAAAAAGGATACTAAGCTTCTAGAAAACAAAATTAGTGAATTTCTTTTAATGATTGAAAATGAAAATTTCAGTGTGAGAGCTGCTGCCAGAGCTGTTGACATACCTTACTTAACTTTACACTTTCCCTTAATGAAGTTAAAAAATCCAGCAAAAGTAACCCATGTGGGAACTCTCTTATATTTCAGAAGAACATGAGAATGAGTTGGCTGATTGCCTAAAATGTATGGCACGATGCAAAGATTTTTGAAAATTTAAAGTGTTAATCGTTCTTCTTGCTTTTAAATAAATCATTTTATTAGCTGCTTAAACATATCTTTTTGGTTTATTTGTTTGATCTTGATGTCTTATTTGTTAATTACCATTATATAATTATTTTTAAACAGCCCCTTTACAATAAAAACTGGTGATCAGTAATTACCCCAGAAGTGATCAGGAATTACCCCAGAAATGATCAAGACCAGGGGTAATTCCTGATCACTAAAAATTTAAAATCTTTTAAATTCTAATTAGATTTTCAAACAAAAGAAGGTGGCATTGGACTCATCTCGTATAGCCTCAAACTTCCAGTAAATATTAAAATTCTATTTTGAATAGTTTTTTCACAAAATAGATGTTTGCGTTTTTTGATCAGGAATTACCCCAGGTCACCCTAAATGTTAAACTTTTTATCAGTTTCTAAAACTGAAATAAAGTGCTTACTGCAATCCCAGTAAATGTCTCTAAAAATATTAAATTAATCATCTCAATTTAATACGAGAAAATAGATTTTTTTAAGTGTATGCTCACTTTCTCCACGTACCCTCCTGACCCTATTGAAATAGACTATTATCAATCTCTTATTCATAGTTACAGCCCCAATTGATCTTGCTGTTATTTTTTTAAAAATTTCTGTTACAGATAAAGAAGTATTTTGATCATGAGTTTCACTTTTGGAGCGAATACTGGGCAACAGGCCCAACAGCAAGCATCTAATTTTGCTTTTGGTCAACCTCAGCAACAGAATCAAAATAGAGGTTTTGGTTTTGGATCAACTACTGGATCTACTGGTTTGTTACTTACTTTTCAATTTATATTTTTAAATGTTACAATTATCAAGTCATAGTTCTTTACAAAATATCTATTGCTTTCTGACTTATTGTCTAAAGAATTTTACCTATGTACAGAGTGACAATGCTTAATCACTCAATCCAATAATTTTGACAGTGTAATTGCACTCGTAATTAGATCAGTCTATTTTTGGTACCAGCAATTACTATTTTTTTGACTTGTGGAACTCAGTTACTAATAATCCCGCTAAGCATTTAAAGTATTTAAAATCTTCATTGTGTTGGCTGGCTGACTGCCTCATTTAATTTATGAATATATTCTTTTTACTGGAATATATTAAAAATATATTAATGAAAAAAGTAATTGGACAAAAAAACTTCAAATTATATGGGTAATAAAAGTTTTAAATACATTATTAGTGATGTCATGAATAGCGATTTAGCAGAATACTGATTATTAAGGCCAAAAAAAGTCTGCCAAGTAACTATATTTATTTCAAATATAAAAATCGTTAATAAATGATATTCTTTATTCTTAAACCCTGAGCCAGAATTTGTTCAACAAAATGCTTTTAATATTAATTGCTAATTTAAGGGGAAAAAAGTGTGTTTTTGCAAAATAAATCTACATCGTATATAATAAAAATTGTAAATAGTAACAGGGAGGAGATTTTCCACTCTTTAGCATACTTCCGCTTTTTTCGCTTTTGTTTCTCAAAATTTCAGCCTTTTTATCAAAAACTTCGATTCTCTAAAAATTTAATTTTTTTTTTCTTTTTTAAATATATTACACTTTTCTGGAAATTCAGTCGCTGATATAAAATAATTATATCTATTTCCGATTTTCAAAGAAAAACAGAAAATTCAATCTATATAGCTGCCAACCCTTCCGCATTTTTACTTATTTTAGCTATTTTCTTCGCTTATACATGCAGAAAATAAGATTTTCCGTATTTTTGCCCGCCAGATAGCTCGTATTTTTTTAATTCAGACGTCTCGCTGCTTCCTGTTTGCATCATGAAAATTATGAATCGTGATTCGTATTTACACGATCTAAAAATTATGCATCTTTATTTGTGTTTTCAAATTTTTGAAATTCAATATAGAGTTTCATATCATATTCACGTGATTTAAAAGCCATATATCGGGATCATATTCTCTCAATTTACAATCAAATATTGCTATACCTATTCATACAATTTTAAAATTAATCATCAGGATTTATAATCACATGGTTTAAAAATCACACTTTTTTGTAAATTTTTGGATATCATAGTTTCTACATATTATTTTTATAATATATATATTCTTGGATTTCCTCTTTTTTTACTCTCCGACTACTCTTATCCCTGTAGTAAACAAAATATGTTTTTTATTCTAGTATTATTAATGTGTATTAGTCATATACTACTATTACTCATAAATTTTTTTTTCTAGTATTATTATTATTCTAATATTTTAGCATTTTGTAGTCGGAAAAACGCACTAATTCTTTCCGTTTCAAAAATCAAAGGAAAACTCTTTCTGCAAGAACTCAGTGACGTTCTGCGACAATGTCGCTGTGTTGCCATTATTCTGCCACAGGGTATATCGAGCTATTTAAAAACTACATCAATATCAATAATTGCCAAAAATACAATCATATATCAAATGGACTTACTATACTATTGGAGCAAATTGAGTGCGTCAAAAAGTGATTATTTAATTGCACGATTCGAATTTCATGTATTGCTACTGACAAATAACGGGATTTAAAGGCAGGGTAAAAATCGGTAGTACTAGCAAAAACTGCCGAAGCTTAGGGGAAAACGATGAAATCGCCAGCCACCAAAAAATAACAATTATTGTTAGACTTTCAAATTTACATTTAAATATAATTAGATTTTTTTCTATTATAAATAAATTCAATTTTTAACTAACTAAGAATATTAATTTAATGGTATCAAAACCTAAATTAAAAAGCTGATTATTACTTACAGTTTAGAAATGTAACCTGTATTAGCACAATAGACCTAACTATAAAGTAAAATTTCACTCACTTTAAAATTTGTGTACAACTTGGTTTCAGTGCATCAAGTTCTGCATTTATTGATTTTTTTTCTTACTGATTTATAATTAAATAAAAGATTTTCTAGTTAAGTGGCAAAATTATTTTTGGAAAACGGTCTACATGTTTTGTGTAATCGTTAAAATTTCTGTATGTATTTATTTTTTTTAGGGTTTGGATTTGGAGCTGCAGCCACTACTGCCTCAACTGGATTTTCATTTGGTAATACAGCTCCTGCTACTACAAATACAGGGTTTGCATTTGGAGCTCAAGCATCTGCACCAAATACAGGGTTTTCATTTGGAACACCTGCAACTACTGCTAATTCTGGATTTGCTTTTGGTGCTGCACCCACCTCAACTCCATCATCTAATCTGTTTGGTGCGACAGCTACCACAGCTAGCTCTGGATTTGGATTTGGTGCACCATCTTCAACTACAAGTGCATTTGGTTTTGGAACTGGAACTGCTACTACTACAGCTGCTGGATTTGGATTTGGTACAGGAACAGCTACTACTACAGCTGCCGGATTCGGTTTTGGAACTGGAGCAACTAGTACTACAAATACTGGATTTGGTTTCGGAACTGGGACAGCAACAACTACAAATGCTGGATTTGCCTTTAACACCCCTCAGAGTGGGGGAAGTCTCTCATTTGGCACTCCTACAGCTACAGGAACTGGGCTACCTTTTGGACAAGTTGCTGCCACTACTGCCAGTGGTTTCGCTTTTGGAACGCCAAGTTCTACTGCTACTTCAGCATTAGGGTTTAATTTAGGTGGTGCTGCTCCTACAACCACTGCACCTATTGGTAATACAGCTTTTGGAAATACACAAAATTCAAATGCTTTTGGAGGGTTTGGTGGTGCTACAGTTACAACAGCACCAAACTTATTTGGCAATTTCACTCCCACTGCAAGTTCTGCAATAACACCTTCAACTGGATTTGGTGTCAGTACTGCTACTGTGGCTCCTTTAAGTTTTGGTGCAACCCCTACATCTGCTGCTACAGGAACTGCTATTGGAACTGCAGGCCTAGGATTTGGCACTACACCACAACAGCCTTTAGGATTTAATACCACCTCACAGCAATCTTCAGGATTTAATACCACTTCACAGCAATCTTCAGGATTTAATACCACTTCACAACAATCTTCAGGATTTAGTGCTACACCACAGCAACCTTCAACGGGATTTCAGTTTGCTACTCCTAATAGTACCTCTGCAACTGCAGTTAGTTCTACTGCAGCTGGTACTGGGTTTGCATTCAATCAGCCTCAAACAACTGTGAGTACAGCTAGCCCTTTCCAGTTACCTGGTGCTACATCTACGGCTGCTATGAATTTTGGAGTAAATAATAGCAGTACAACACAATCAGGTAATGAAGTTTTTTATAGTTCAAGTTTTTTTCACAAATGTACATTGTAGACAACTTTTCTTCTCTGCCATAATTTTGTTCTTTGCAATATTTTATTACACAACAAAAAGTTAACTCCAAATTAGTTTTATTCTTTTATTTTTATGTTGCAATAAAAGACTGTCCATCTTTGTTTTCCCTACAATTTTCATTCTATTTGACACTCTAGAGTGTGTAGGCAGAATTTTATAGAAAGTTTGCCAAAAGGAACTATCATATTTCGGAATGCAACTTAGGTTTAAGGTCTTGAATAGAAAGTGCAGATAATCTGCTGTTTTGAAAGATTCTATCAAAAGTACCTGTGTTATTTGAAGTGAAACAAACATAAAGTTCAAGTTGTTCGTTTTTATTTGCTAATCACCACAATTATAAGTTAGTGTTTTATGCTAAAATTCACTTACTTACAACTAACCCATGTATTTTTTATTTAAATGTCTTACAAATAAATTAGAAAAAAAATGATCCTCAAAGAAATTATATATACTATGAGGATTAAAAATCAACACCTTGTCTGAGCCAGACATAAACTAAAAAAAGTAAGAAATTAATTAAAAAATCAATAGACCTTCCTATGTTATTTTTTCCAAGGATGTTAATTGATCGCTTTCTCCCATATTCTTTATTTTGTAATTAGAAAATTTATTTTTAAGAAATTTTAAAATAAATTCTGGGCTTGTTGTAAGTTATTGAATTTCTGCATAAAACACTAACTTATTAATGTGATATTAGCAAATACAAACAACTAGCCCATATATTTTATTTTTAAATGTCTCAAAAAAAATCAATAGATCTTCCTATGTTGTTTTAACAGGGGTGTTAATTGATTCCCTTTCTTACATATTCTTTACTGTAATTAACAAAATAATAATGTTATGAAAATTAGGACTTATTTTACATTTTAAACACTTAATGTCGTATGATTTAACATAAAACTTCACATTATGTTTAAGATGTTAAAATGGCTCCTAATAATTAATAATACTGATTTGAAACTTACTATTTTTTAGTTAATATTTTTTTTCTTTTGAAATTATCTACCAACTTTAATTAAATTTAAAATTAACAACCAACTTTTTCCATTATTTTGTACATCCTCTGTGTATATACATTTAAAAAAATTAAAATTTTGATTTTTTTTTTAATTGAGGTTTAGATAATTTTATATCAAAAGAACAAATTCAAAATTTCAAAATTCAGCTCTTAAGGTCTAATGGTTCTTCACAAGTTATAGATGTTTAAAAATTATAAATTTCATTTCTGAAACAAATGATTTTTAAAAGTCGAACTTAGTATTTTCCATCCATTCTGATGGTTATACTTATGATCTAAAAATGTGTTAAATGCAAAAACTTATAATTTTTACCATTAGGGGCTATTATGAATGATGTCACTCTTTCTATATTGTTGATCCTTTCCTTTGTCACAAAAAGTTTCTGCTGCATCATTTCCCTTTTGTCACATATATTGCTACAAAACTTTTGCTGGCAGTTTAGAATAGCACGTTATAGAGAATATTTTAAGTATTAATTTTTTATTGACATTTGCAGAGATGATTGTGCTGTGGAAAAAATCCGGATTTCCTGATTTTTCGCTAACCGCGATCTGGAAGTTTCAGGAAATCCAAGGTTCAGAAGTTTCAAGAAATCACCAATCGCATTTATGTATAAAAATTCTTGTATATTTTATTTAAAAATGTTAGAACTAAAATTTATACTTGGCATCTCTTTCTTTCATTTGTAAATATTTTTTCTGGTAGAATGATAAATGTGATTAGAGATAAAAGTAAACTTATACATAATTATTCATTTAAATTATGCTGCATATAATTTATTAAAAATTTCATGTTGTGAAAATATCAATGATTTAAATTTATAAAGACATAAATTTTTTGAAATGTGTGTCATTAATGATTTTACTCAAGAAATTTTCAGTTTTTTTTTAGTTGGGCTCACAATCACTCCTGCAATTGTAAGCATAACAATAATTTGACGTGTACTGATTTTGATGAAAAAAATTAAATAATATATTATTGCAAATTATATAAAAACATTACTTACATAAACTTATTTATTACCCCTTCTCAAACTTGTCACAGTTTTACCAACCCTTTTCCCACTCATCTTTTTGGCACATCTTTAACAGATTTGCACAGATCTTTAACATATTATAAATAGTTATTTCTCAATTTCTGATCTGTAAGTGTACAGACTATTAATTATGTTATCTTTAATTAATTTCCACCTATTTAGGAACTACACCTGTTGCTCCTTTAAACTTTTCTGCTAGTGCAGTTGCTGTTACAAAAACTGAAACATCTGGAATGTCATCATTGTTTTCAAGTAAACCAGTGACTTCTGTTGGTAAGAATTCTTTATTTCCCATTCATCATAAATTTTATTTCAGTGTATTGGAAAAATAACTTTTTATTGGATTTAAGCTTTAAAAGATAAAGGCTTTCAATTCATAAAAATCAATGATTTTTATTTCATTAATTTTAAGGAAATTTTTTAATAAATAAAATTTTTATAATATTGTTTTAATGTGTAAAACATTTAATTTTATCATTAGTATTTCTTTACTTAGAGAATAAATCAAATTGCTAGAGATAACATGTTATAAAATATATCATATGATTTATTTAAATATCTGATGAAATGTATCCTCCATTACTTGCTATTAATCCTTTATTTGTGTCAGGATGCTGCAATATCTATGTTTCATTGCAAATCTTTTTTTTTTAATTTATTGGTAGAAATTTTTTTGGAAACTGAAAATTTTATTATATGCTTTTAAAATTGACCCTCCTTATGTCTACTTAATTTCATGCTAAACTGTCACATATTTTATTTTACAGCACCTTTGTCTAACCTATCAACAAGCCAGAGTACACCTATCGCCACATCTGCTTTATCAACTTCTTTGCCTAGTGCACCAGCTGCTCCTGGTATATACATTTTAATTAAAATGTTTCTAAGCTTTAAGAATTATTTTACTTGGATATGATTTAACTTTCCATTAAATATAAAGATGCTGTAATTTATTATCAAATTAAATAAGTATTACTTAAAGTAAGATTGAAATTATTTTAATTATTTCAGAGAAGTCATCTAAAACATGTAATGTTAATTGCGACATAATAAAATTTTTAAAAAAAATTCACACAACTGAAACTTTATAAATATTTTAATATATTTTTGAATTGTTTTGTGTTAAACTTATAGATTACATCTGTTTCATTGTCAAAGGCTCTTTTTTATCATCAATTTTGATTAAATTTTTGATAATAGATTGAAATAAACATACCTTATCTTAGACAACTATATTTTGGCTAACCAAATATAGATATTGTTATAAAAGATATATTTATGGTGAAAAAAGTTCAAATTTTGCTTTTAGACAGTCTGTATAAAAATTTATATTTAAAAAAAAGAAAAAACCCTCAACAGAGTGCTAATAGTTGTTTAAGAATGCAAAAATTTTATAGTTCTGGCTTCTAACATTACTTTTTTTTACATTATCTATCTCTTAATTAATTATATGTACATAACTAATTATGTGCATGTAATTAGTTATTTGCATGTTAATTAATTGTATATTTTCTAATTTGTTAATATAATTTTATGAAAGCTGTGAACTAAAGAATTTTAACTTAATATTGAACTAAATTTCAGCAGAGGGTACAATCAGATATTTGTTTTTTATTAGTATCCATTAAGCAAAGATATACAAATCTCAAGTGTGCAATCACCAAGGCACCTAAAATATTGTGACTAGCATTCAATATTTTAATACAATTTGACTACAAAAAAAGATTTTGAGGAGAAATATTTTTTCTTAACATCTTTTATAATTTTTGTATTAAAAATTTAAAATTTGCTTTAAAATTTTAGACCATTTTTTAGCACTTTATTTTCAAATAACATTGAACTGAAATAATTGTTTTTAGCATTTTGTAATTTGATAAGAGCATGGAGCTGTGATGCTACTTTCCATTTCTTAGGGTTCTAGAAATTTTGATGTTTTATTGACTACTAGAAATAGGTATATAACGTTGTTATAATTTTAACTATTTTTGAAAATATAGGTTTTTGTCACTTTGATACACTTCTAAGCAGTTTCATATATCCAGTAAATCCCATTTGTCTTATTGAAAACCAGTTTGAAATGTTTACCTCGGTTATAAACCTTAAATTTATTAATTTTTTTCTATTTCAGCTCTTTCCTTCGCTCCATCAACTAGTAGCACATTAGCAACTACCACTTCTGGAGGATTTTCATTTCCCACAATGAAAACAACTGCTGCAGCTGCGTCTACTGCTGCACCATCACTGTTTTCTTCAACATCCTTATCCTCAGTACCATCAATGTCTTCTGCAATTACATCAGCTACACTCAATACCACTACAACTGTGTATGTATTGAGTTTCATCTGATTTTATGGTTATAGCATAAATTAAAAAAATTTTAGTTCAAAAAGAATGTAGAAACAAGGCACTGTGTTATGTAGACCTGAAAATCTGAATTTTCAGTTAGTAGCCAATGGCCGGTAGACTCTAGTGACTTAATAGCAACTTCTCCCTCAAACCTAATGTGACTGTGACCGATATTGATAAGTGCTTTTAATTCAATGGCCACTGTTTGCAAACTTGTTCTTGCTAGAATTAAGTTATATTTATTTTTAAGAAAATCCATATTAAAAATTGTTTACAGCTACAATAAGTTAATTCGACAATAAAAATAATGTAAATATGTGATAAAATTTAGATTAAGACACTGACTTTAAAAAAGTTTATTTAATTTGTTTATTTGGGGAGGCAGAATACATTTAATGTGTACATTACAAATTTGAAATATGTGAATTATTAAATAATTCTCCTTGAACATGAAGCTTTCCATCATAAACTGACAGATTCTGAATTATCTCATATTTTTGAATGAAAGTATTGGACATTTTAATGAAAATTCTGTTTCCCCAGGGTCTTTTTCTAATTTGATTTACTTTTTTTTATTAAACGATATTTAAAAAAAGCGATGGGAGAAAGTTAATGGTTGTTTATTTATTTTAAGTTGCCTTTTTTTTTTCCAACTTGATTAGTGATTAATTTCAGGTCTAGTATTATGTCTGAAACAATCTAACTGAAATTTACAAAACATTTCTGACCTTTCTGTTTCATATGGAGATTTTCCAAAAAAAGATTTATCTGAAATATAACACAAGTTTCGAAAATATTCTTTCAAAATATTTTCTATATATAATATGTTACAGGAACTTGATAACACTTTTTATGTTACTTGGCAGGCTTTTTAGTCAAGCCAGGATGGGTAGATAATGGCTCACTACCCATATACGGCCAGCCAACATTTTTTGTGATCCTCTAAGACAGTCAGAAAAAAATCGTCTTGAACAGGGGGCATAACACCTGAAAAGGGGCAGCATGAACTTCTTGTTATACAGTCAAAAATTCAGGCTGCTTCTGTCACACTGTAAAAAATTTGTTTGATGCTGTAACACTGGTTGACTTTTACAAATCTTTTTATGGTGAAAACTTTCTAGTGTTAAGAAATTTGCTGTGAAACTGTTTTTAATATTTGCTCCTAATCATATTTGTGTGCAAAATTTTTCACGCTTGAAGATCAAAAAAACTAAAATTAGATGCTCTTGATAGACATTAAATTACAAGCTGTGATAAGGCTCTCAACAAGCAATCTCACGCTTGATTTCAAAAACTTTCTAGAAAAATGTGGTGGGATAGATTGGTAGCTATAGGTGATATAAAGTTAACACAATAAATAATTTGAATAAAACTGTGATTTTCATATGCAGTTTATTTTATGGTACAATTTATATCTTTTCTCAATGCAATATGGTATGACATCTTACCAAAAAGTGACTCCTACTGTAAAACAATTACTCACCCCTGATCTATGCTATTCCTTATGATCTTGAAATGTAATAATAAGGGGAAAAAATTGTTTTTATTTTAGAACTGCCAGTGCTTCTACGCCAACATCTATGAATTTCAGGCAGTTAGAAGATTCTATCAACAAATGGAGTATTGAACTGAAAGAACAAGAAAAAGTATTTTTAAATCAAGCTACTCAAGTCAATGCTTGGGATAGACTATTGATATCCAATGGAGAAAAGGTAACGAAAAAATTTTATCTTGAATTTATATTTTATAATCTCGTAATAAATTTAGTAAAAAAGCTGAACTATTTTTTTTCTTCAAAAACATTACAGTGTGTGTTTTATTTAGTTTTTTGTGTGCCAGCTTCAAAGTTATTCATTTGTTCTTCTTCAAATTTCTGTGCTTTCATATCATTATAATAAACTTTAATAGGTGATATTGCTAAGTAGGCTTGTTCACTATTAACATTAAAGCAGGGTTTAAAATTTATCTTGTTCTTGAACCAACAAAATTTGACTTGGACCACCATAAAATAATTATTAGTTGTTCCCTTAAGCCAACAATTTCAGTTTTGATTTAAAATGCCTTATGTTCCCAAAATTGCATTCATAATTATAAACATTTCACATTTTTTTTCTAATTTAAGGAAAATATCTAATAGTAAATGTGAGAGATATGTGTGTAAACGTGTAGAGACTAGTTATATATTTTAGTTCCAGTGGACCAGTGACTATATTTTCTTTATAAATAATAATGGGATCATCATTTTTATTACCCATATCATTAATAATAATGAAATATGTAACACATGTTTTTCTATGCAACATGATCAATCATTATGACTTGAAATTTCAAAGTTTTTGCCCTAGAATTTATTTATGCTTATTTAATACTAAAACAATACTATATTTACTGAACTAGTGAAACTCAACAAGTATCACATTGAATAGGTCAATCAATAGAAATTTGAGTTTTATCGAAATGTCTTAATTTTTTAATCCCAAAAATGTAAAAGTATTTTGATTTTTCAACTGCTGAAACTGAGCAATCTTCTTTGTCCAAAAGTTTTTTTTTTTTGTTCAAAATAAGATTATCTAAATGTTGGTTCAGTATAATGAAATATGGTTTCAATCAAAATAAAAATTGGTGTGACATTAACAAAGGTGCCAACTTTTAAGATTTTTTGAGAATTTTCATAATAATGTGTTAAGAATAAGTTCTTTCCCATTTTAACTATCAAGAATTATGAAATTTTGTTATTTGCAAAGAATATTTGAAAGAAAGTAACACTTGAGTGTTACTTTCTTTTATTTAATAGTGAAATATTATTAGATTTATACTTTTATAGAACTCAATAGTATAAGCACCTAGAAATTGCACTAATTTGAATTTTGTTAACATTATATGTATGATCTGATTACGGATAATAGCTAGTTAGCACCCTTGCATTTAGGGAATGAAATATTATGAACGTAAATACAATCATCTGTAATAATAATTCTCCTAAATGTTAAAAAAAATATTGTTAGGTTATTGGCTATTTTAATCTTACTTCACAATCTACCAATATTTATTTGTAATCTATACCCCTTGTTTTATTAGATTTATATTCCCTACCATAGCTAAATACGAAAAAATGGAAAATTCTAGCGTGTATCCTATTTATTTATTTTTTCATACAAATATCTATAATTAAAGAAAAGATTCAGAGAACAGAGATGCCAACTTGCTCCGGACAGAAAATATATACTTTAAAGTGGTAGTTTATCAGTTGTGATTCTTGGTTTAATGAATTTAATTTAGTAGATTTTTATCCACCACTATTTCTAAATAATTCGCAGGCTTACATAATTCGCCACTTTGTAGTACTTTCGTCATGCTACACGTTTTAAAAAACAAGCAAAAATAGTCGAATATTTTCAATATTTACTTAGTAGTTATTTACCGTTTTTTAAATTATTTTGGTGTGTCCGGAGCAGTTGGCATCTCTGAGAGAGATTAAGAGATCAACTCTAGGAACACCATTTTGCAATGATCTATATAATTATTGGCTTATGCCGAGGACATTGATATATTGAGCCGATTGAAACGGGATGTAGTAGAGACATGTGTGGCTCTTGAGGATTCTCCCAAAGTTATGGGCTTAACATTAAGTGAATAGAAAACTAAATTTATGGTGGTTAGCACCAAAGTTGTGTAATCACTCAAGACTAACAATTATGCCTGTAGCGGAGTCTCCAGTTTAAGTACCTGGGCACACTTATCAATAAAAATGAGTGAAAAGTAGAAATTGAAAACTGAATTTTGATGGCTAATAGATGTTACTTTGAACTGAAGACCCAATTAAAATCTAAATTAATCTCCATCTAAAGTAAGTTTATATAAAACACTTACTAGACCGATTATTTTGTATGACTGTGAGACTTGAGCGTTTAATAAAGCAAAAGAAAATCATCAATGGAGAAGTTTATATAACAATGAAGTATATTATAAACATAGACAACCAAATATTTTAAGAGTTATTAAGTTATACAATAACAGATGGTTGGGATATGTTTTTCATCGTGAAGACTCTGATTCAGCTTAATAAAAAATACTTTCAAAGATTGAAGGTACGAGGGAAAGCATCAATAAGGTGGCTGGACTGTGTGGAGAAGGACCTGAAAGTTTTGGTAGTGAATAGATGAAGAAATTTAGCTATAAATCAAACTGTCTGTAAGAGCCAAACTGCGAAAGCCTTGGCTTGCACTAGGCTGTAGTGCTGTTAAAGAAGTAGAAAGAAAAAGTTATGTGTTTAGCTTTGCAGAATAACACTGAATAATTTGCTGCGTCTGATTTTTTTCCTGCTGAATTAGAATTTTTTAATAACTTGCTATATTTGTTATCTTTTCTTACTTTGTCTAGAATTGTGCATAAAAAATATAATCGTGATAATCGTAACTAAATGCTATTCACTACTTATTCTGAAATTCATTTTATTTTAATTCAAAATAGATTACAGTTTTAAATGATGCTGTTGAAAGAGTAAAACATGATCAACAACGATTGGATTTGGAGTTAGATTTTATCCATGCTCAACAAGCTGAGCTGGAAGAACTTATTCTTCCATTGGAGAAAAGTACTGAATCGACCCCAAATATCAGCGCTCAACAACATGCTGATGTAGAGAGAGAACATACGTAAGTTTATTTTATTTCTCCATTCATTGCATATTAAATTTGCAAGTTTGTATTCTTATTATATATTGAATCAATTTTATTTGTTTTATTTGCTCCATGAACTGAAGAAAAAATTTATCCAATAAATAATGTTAATTGAAATTGTTTCAAAGTATAATAATTATGATAGGTTGAAAGTTCTTTTATTATTAAATTTGTTAAATAAAAAAAGTTGCAAATGATACATTTAAGGTTAAATTCCTATTCCTGAAATTATAAAGACAAATATATTAAACCACATAAATTTTTTTTTAAATTATTGTGTCTATTATTAGTAATTTAAACATTAATAAAAAAATCCTGACCTTAACAATTTTATTTTTAAAAAATGAAATCTGACGTAAAATTTTTTACCGTGTGTCTCTTTTATTACATTGTCAAGACTTATGTTGCAATACGTAAAAAAGTTGTATAAATTTTTCTTAAGTCAAATTTCTTCTCATCTCATTATTTCTCACATTAAAACAAAACTGTACTCAGGGATGAGTTTGGTATAAAACCATAAAAGATGAAAATAGAAATCCAAAAATGATTTGTGCTAAACATATTTTAAATAATTTAAAAATACCAGAATTTTGAGCCAAAAAAAAGTATGTAGGAATCATATATCCGAAGAATATTATAAAGGTTTTTATAAAAACAATATCAATCAACGATTGTTTCTTTTTTCAAATTAAGTGAACATAGATCTTGATGTGTAATTTTTAAATTGTATAAAACGAATCATAATGTCAGAATTTTTTAATCACATGAATACAAATTTCGATGCATGCATTTTTAATCACATGACCATGAATGTTGATGTGTGATTTTAAAAACTCATGAATATGAATTGTAGCATGTGATTTTAAATCACTTGAACACTACTCATGGTGGGTAATATTAAATCACATGTATGTAATTTTAAAACTAGTTTATATAGGTAGGAAAAGGGTATCATGGGTACCTTTTTTCAGGAATTTTAAAAAAGTGGAGCTTTTTTTATATTTAATTGGGGGGGGGAGCGTAATTATGCCAAAATGTGGAGAGAAAAACTTATCCCTGTGTATTCTAATGTTCAGCAGCATTTTACACAGTGACATCACATTCAACTCTTATCCCACTATGTATTCAATCCTATACCTATGTAAAGTATTATAGAATTTCTTTCTTAATTTTCCATACAAGCAATGTGATTTTATTTATTTTGTCTCCAATTTCAGCTATAACCTGGCTGAGAGCATTGATGCTCAGTTGAAGAGAATGTCTGAAGATATTAAAGAAATTATTGAACATGTTAATACTGCTAACAAAACTCAAGATGATAATGATCCTGTAAGTAATATTTAAAAATTTAGAATATTAAGTAATGACATTAAAATTTATGCCAAAATAAAATTCATCTATTTCTTTGCTATGTTATGAATTCATCTCATTTTTAAAGTTGTTTATATTTTGTGATAGATATTTCTCTTCATTATTTATAATTAATTCAATCAGTCCTACTAAAGAGAATGCTATAACTTAAGGAGAAATCCTTCATGGCAAATTCTCTTTCACGTATAGAAAAAGTGACTTCAGGTAAACTGTGAGTAAATCATGAAGTTTTAAATGGGAACAAAAATTTCAAAATATCAAAATGGACAAATTAATGAAAATTATAGACAGATAACTCAAGATTAAGCAGTGGAAAAGTAATTCTGCTATAATTTGTTTGAATTTTGAAAACATTTTTCATGGTTTACTCTTCTGGGTCTCCCTTTTTTCTAAACTGAGAACTTTTACTTGTGTATTAAAGAGAAGATATTACAGGGTTTGTAGCGTTTTTAAAAGGTGCTTATTTTCGTTTTTTAAAAGCCCTTAAAGGTGCTTTTTTCATTGGGTGGTTTTAAAAAGTGCTTTATTTTCCCTTTACCATGTTGATTTCTCGGTGTGTGCAAAAAGGCACGGTTCACATTGTTCTATTCAACGTTTTCACAATTCAACCCCAATCTATTTCGGCTTACCATTATTGGTTCGTAGCGTAGGAAAATGCCATCCGTTTTTTACATGATTCAATTACTTTTGACAATTGTCAAAAACTGAGCCAAGAGTTTTTTTTTTTGACATGACGGTTAAAACCGGATAAATCCGTCTATTGTCAAAAACTTGCCAAATATCCCTAACTCTTTATTTTTTGTTAAAAAATTTGACTATGCACCCTTATTAGATGACAAATGAATTCTAAATTGCTTTTATTTTGTTTTAGCTAATTCTATACTAAATTTTAATATGAATATTTTTTATTCACAGGTACAACAGATTGCAAAGATTCTCAATGCTCATATGGATGCGTTGCAATGGGTAGATCAAAATACAGGTGAACATTATTTTGTTTTAAATAGTATAAACATGCTTGATTATGTATATTCTTAAAAAGACCTAAATTCTTATTAATTTGATTTGTATAAAATTTTCATCCATCATTTTTTAAAATTATTTAATCATAAGCTTCTGCTTTAAGTTTTTTTTAATTTAATAATTTTTAGAAAACCTAATACCTGATTATTTCATTAAATTTTGACTTGGCTGTATTATTATTTTTAGTATTTGATTTTTTTTAAATAAACAAATAAAGTACTTAGCATCAAAATTAATTCAAATTTTGAAAACATTAAAAAAAAAATTTGTTTTATAATAATTACTTAAAACGAAAAAGCAAAATTTTGTAAACAATGGTAGATAAGGAATTCAATTGAAAAAAATATTTAATGTTTTTTTTTATAATGCTTAATTATAACTATTTATAGTAATTTAAAAATAATGTTCAAATAAGCATTTTATGCTTCATAACTATTGAAATATTTTAAGTAAAAGAGGTAAAGCAAAGTTCTATTCCAATGTATTGGATTATAATCATAGGAATTTAAATCACCCACACTAGAAGCGTGTGAAAAAAAATTTGCATCAAACTTTAAGCTATGATGTAGTTAAAGCTTGTTTTCACATTTCAATGAAAAATTTTAATAGAAATTTGCAAACTTTTGATTAGACTATTAACCCCTAAATAAATTCAGCATGATTTTTTTTTACACACAACAAACCATGTTGTCGTTAATAGAAACACTGCTAGTCAAAAAAAAATTTTATACTAATTTGTCTTAATAATGTGATATTTTCTGTACTGAATCTTACAAATTTATGTCATTCTTTTTATTTTATTCAAATTCGAAGCACATAAATATAACATTCCAATAACTGAATTGTAAACTACTTTGATGAATAAAAATGTCTTTTACCAGGTTGTGGTATTGTACCATATGCTACCAAACTTATTTCATATAGACATTTATTCGTATTATGTAATACTAAAAAAATAAAAATAACGAATTTTGATGCTGTTTATCATAAGATATTTTGCAGCTTAATACATTTATAAAAAAAAAAAAAAATTTTTTTTGTCTAAAACAATATTTTTTAATGCTTAAGATTTTTATTAATAGAAATAATTGACTTATACATAAAAATCTACAAATTTATGTAAAATTGTCTCAATGCTCAAATTGACATTCTAGATGTGTGTTGTATTTTTATAATCAACTAACAACAAAAATGAATACTATTATGTAGCAACTAAATGAATTATTATTTTTTTTTTAACCATTTATTTAAAAGTGTGCTGTGCTTTTAACATTGTTCTAGTTAGAAGTAAAAGATTCTCTTTTAATTGATTACTATATTGTTATAAGATTGAACATTATTATTCATTTATATATTAAAAAATATGTTAAACAACTTTTCACAGCTTCAGTATTATGAAAAAAATAAGTTTTTTTATGGCATTAGATCAAATTTCTTACGCAATAATTAGGTTTTCATAAATATATGAATTATTGTCAAAGTGCAAAACTTTAAATTCTTACACTACTAATTAAATTATATGCTAAAAAATATTTAATTTCGTACTATTGTTTTATTTTTTTTTTTCATATTCAGTTAGCTACATTGTTAGGCCTAAAGAATTCTGATGCTACAGATAAATTTTTCCAGTTTAAAATATATATATATGAAATCAATTTTTTCTTTTTTTTAAATAATTGCTATTTATCATCATTTTTCAATTTCAGTTGGTTTGCAAAGAAGACTTGAAGGTGTGTCAAAAGTATATGAAAATCAGAAGAGGGAAAATGAACAATCATTAAGGCGCCTATACCAATAGTTTAATGTATCTGTTTTGATTCTTTTATTATTCAAATAAATATTTTTCTTTACAACACTAATCTTTGTATTTTAAATATTTTTCTTCATGCTGAAAACTGTTTTAGTTTGAATGAAGTAACTCTTTTTTTTTTAATATACACATTTTCATTCAATTGACTTTAAATATAAAAAAAATCTATAAAATAAATCTGACTTGTATTACAATATTTTTATTTTTCATTTGATGTTATTTTCTTGAAAGTTACAAGTAAATGAAATTGAATTAAGGCTGTTTAAAAACAGTCCCTGCTCAGTAATGATTCCTCGTCATAATTCTGCTTAAAAAACCTTTCATTCTAAAAAATAGAAAAGTTATGTGGAAACTTTTAAATTGCCAAAAAAAATATTTAATAACAATACCAAAAATAATTTAACACATCTACCTTTATTTTATTGTTAAATAATGTATAAATTTATATCACAGTTCCTCAATGTGTTGTTTATTGAGGATTATCTACAGTATTTTTATATTTAATAACAAATCACCATTTAAGTTGGTCAAACAACTATACTTTGTATATAGGTTTCGACATAAAAAAACATTAATACTACTTTTGATATGTCATGAAATGGTTTCCTTAAAGAAAAAGTCAAACATTTTATAAAGAATATTACTTTACCATCTACAACGATTTGTTACAGTTATGTTTGTGGCATATATTAGAACATCCTATTTCAGCAACATTGGTCCAGTGATTACAGACACTGAAGTCATACTTCTCATCAGGGAATAGAACAATAATCACAGGAGGTCTTTTTATAACATCATCCTGCAAGGAAATACAATAACAAATATGCATTTCTTAAAGAAAAAGAAATATATTCTTCCAACTTTATAAATCAAAAAGAGTTAAAAAATCTCATTCTAAAGTACAGTAGAGCACCGATTATCCGAACTGTGTCTGAATTCGATTTTTTTTTTTAAAGTTTAGAACACGATAGGTTATATCGACAATTTTTCTAAATTGAGAAAAATAAATAATACCCCCTACATCTGAAGACCATATTTAATTTACAACCTTATTAGCAGTTTTCTTATAGTTGCCATACATGCATCAGGGTTCCCGCGCTCTTGAAAAAACCTTCAAAAGTACTTGGATTTTATTTTCAAGGGCCCCTAGAAGTTCTTGAAAAGCCCTATTCCAGCATTTCTGTGTTTAACTTTTTGACGCACGTAAGTGTGAGAGAATGATTTTACCGCCTTTCAGATGATGACACGTACTTTTTGATTTTAGGATTTTATGTATGTTTGGCTGATTTTAGGAATTTTAAATATTGGGAACGGCGCCAGATTCTGACAAAATCTCGATTCTTATTCAGGCATTTTAATATCGATCTTAAACCGTCAAAGTGACCAAAATTGTTAGTAAGAATCTATCAGAAGATATTGAGGTGAAAGTTGGCAACTGATTCTATTTAAAATGGTTGACCCGTAATAAATTTAAAATGATAATTAAGCCGCAACATCCAATAATTGATTAATTTTCTTTAATAGAAAAGTGGTCAAAATTTCAAAATTATATTTAAGAACAATTTAAATTTCACTGTCTAAATGCTTCTGCCACTTTAAATATTAAATAAAAATCTCCCGGCAGAGGTGTTTTTAAATATCTAATTGATATCACAGTATTATGTAGAACATCCCCCCGTCCTGCCCGAATTTTTGCTTATTCAGAGGTTGTATACCTAGCTTAAAATAGGCCTTGTGAAAATTCAAATCTGACGTTTTTATGAATCATGAATTTAATTCTTGACTTGATGACAATCACCCTTGCTTTTTTTATACTTAGATCACTTTCCGAAATCAAGAGAGCAATGGAAGTCTTATTTTTCAGTACTGCTATTATCGTCTAACATTTATCGTCAACTAACTATTATCGTCAAAACATTTTAGTCTATCTTTTACTAAAATTTAAGTCCTTGAGAATTTTATAATAAGTCTTAAAAAGTCCTTGAAAAGTACTTGAATTTTATTTCTAAAGTAGAGCATGAACCCTGTGCATGTATTGTGATACAGTTAAACCTACATACCCCTTTACAACAGAAAATTATCTTCCAAGAATGCAAGCTTCATTTTGATAGTTTACAATGGTTGGAATGCAGAAGGAGTTTATGAATTGATAAGTTCTGAAGTTCTATAATTGGGGAATGGGTAGTTGTAACTTATGGTTAATAATTAGTGATTACTGTGCTTGGAATCTTAAATCTTGGAATAAAATTCTTAACAGAAAAACAAACGAAACTGAAGTTTCTGAACCAGTAGATCTTTCG